CATACTCAGTTCTTACACCTGATTCCAGCACAGAACTGCAGTCTTTTACTTGGTGTGTGATCTATTGACCTCAACTTGTAGTGTCAACAGTACCATGAATGCTGCTAAAATGCAGACTCTCTGGGGTCATAAGATCTGCTACATCAGAATTTGCATCTGAAGTTGAATCCCTGATTATTCTTATGCATAATGGAGGCATTCTAGAATTACTTTTTTCACATTCTTCCTGCTGACATTTGGGAACCAGAAAATTACTTGTGTTGGGAACTGTCATGTGCATTGAAGATATTTAGCAGCAACCCTTCACATTGATAAATATCCCAGGGGAAAATTCTCTAGTTGAGAATGACTGGTCCAGAGTGTGAGTAATGGAAGCCTCATGCCAGAATTCACACCAATACTCCATCCTTTACCTGACGTATGGCATTTGTTATCTCTATTTCTGCAAGGAGAATGGGTTCATAACAGTGCTATTACCTGATAGAACAGACTTTACCAAAAAATCAAATCACGCAATTCCTATAAGGTGCTAAGCTCAGTTGTGGTGCATAAAAAGATGTAAGTGCATCTCTTCTTATTAGTTTACATTTCAAAATGAAGGAATGGATGAGAGGTCTTAATTTGTGCTATAACTATAATTTTTAATAAATCATGAAGCCAAGAATTATAGTACCCAAGGTTTTATGTCAAAGGAAAACAATGCTTTTACAAAAGGATGAAACATTTCTGGAGGTATCAGGTCCTAAATACCCATTACAGACCATGGCTTTGAAGATCCGTGAGATCCAATCAAGGTAGGTTCATCTGAGTCAGACTTTAGGCAAAACTTTAACTCTAAGCAAGAATAAGATATTAGGAGGTCAGACCTCTGGAAGTCACATGAGTTCATGGAGAAGGAGGAATAAAATCTATATTACTCTCTAGTTTAAGCTGGTCTCTTGGGAACAGAAACTAAACAGGAAAAAGTTCTTTTGTTTCCATGCCAGTGTCCCACAAGGAATTCATGTGGTTAGAGGATGATGTAAGAAGAGAGCAACGTGTTTAATGAGCAGATATAGAAGCTAAAACGATTTCTTCTTAGGACCGTCAGGGTGTGCAAGCTTGGGTTGAACAGGACATGGTGGAGTACTTATGGTCTTAAGTTTGCCTAGGGGACCAGTATTTGAGTCGTTCCTGTTGTCCTTCTCAGTACAGAGCTTCCATCTCCATCACCAACCATCCAGGGAGGAGATTTCATGTCCATACTGCAACCTTTGTTCTAGGTGGGTCTGAGAGCTCTGTAGACACTTTGGGAGAGGATCAAAGAGAATGCTTACCTGAGGTCACTTGAGAGCCAATCCCCTCTAGCACAGAGCAGTATTGCTAGGGTGCTTGCTTTCCTGATTATTTATTCATAATACTACAATTGTTCTTAATGGTGCATTTATTTCTTTACCTATTTATTCCTAACACTAAGATGGGAAATGAATATTGATTGGGTCAATGCAGGGTTCATAGTTGACAATGAAATGATAACAACAAAAGCCCAAAGAAATCCAAAGGTGTTTTCAATGATGAGAGCAGATGAATGGGGCATTAGTTATAGAGATACAGGGAGGGTAATGAGGGCTTTTTATGTTTAAAGAATGTTTCTCTATGGATGAGTATCCAGAGAAAGAAATTTTTGCAAATTTCATCTTGCAGCAGAATCTCATGAGATGTATAGCTTTCAACTGTCATCCTTCACTGTACTTATTTGCATAAAATATTTAACAAATAAAAAGAATTATGTATAACAGTCTTACTTTGTAATTATTTTAATTCCCATGATGTTGGATATATTTCTGGGATTTTCAGTCACTTACTTTCTCTATTACAAAGTGACTGTGAAGTCTTTCCCTTATGTACTGAGGTGGTAACATTTTCATTCATGATATCCAGAATGTCAATAGTTAGAGACTGAGAAATCTTGAGTTTTGGAGAATCTCATACTTTCAATACTTATGGTGGTATCCGGATTGGTTTCCTGGTGCATGACACCAAATTATGTTTCTGCCAGCAAAATTTTCTATTTAAAAATTCCAATCATGAAAAAAAAATTCCAATCATGGTCAATATGACAGCTCTGTAAGTTGTTTTCTAAGGCTAGAGGGCGTGAAAAAAATCTTTCTTGCTATTTTCTTAACATATTACTGACTTTGAATAAATATTCATACTTTTCATACTATTTTGATTTCCCTATTACTCTTATCTTCCCATTTTCTAATGCTGTCAGCATTTCAACTGATTATTATGATTTCTTTTTGACATTTGCAATGATATTTTTGACCATAATCCATTTAAAATTTTATGTAGTTACATAGTTTTGCCCATTGTAGTTTTTATATATAATTTATAGCTTTTTGTCTACAATTATTTTGTACTTTCCTCTCTAACTCATGGTGAGATAAGTGAGATAGGAGAACAACATCATTTTCTTCCAGGAAGATAGGCATTTATGTTGACTTTCAATCCACAATTATATTGTCTCCAACTAAAGGGAAATGTAAGCTTGTACTGTATCACATGTCACCATCTACCAGGACTTAACTCCTGATTCAATCGGCAAAAGAAAACAAAGCACTTATTACAAGGTGAAATATTATAGGACTATTATATATTGAATTCTAAAAGAGACACAGTCTGTCAATTTAATTATTAATTCATGTTGATATCTTTCACTTAGTTTTATAGCTTGTTTCAACTAAGTTTTTTTTTGTGGTGCAAGGGATGGAATCTAGAGCCTTGCTATTGCTAGGGAAGTGCTGTGTCTCTGAGCTACATAACCTGCCCTTGTTTCATTTAGGTTTTGATGCTCCATTCAATTTTAAACAGAATTACTGCGAAAAAGCTTTACTGAACATGGTTTGATTATTTCTGCATTGTTTTTATTATGTAACTATTCCATTCTCTTAAATTTTCTTCCATGTAGTTGTATATATATTTATATAACTTTGTTAAAAATCCAAAGGTCAACAGAGCAGGTGAGGTCTCTGCTCATTTAGATCTTGTATCACTGTGTCCAATGAAATAAATGCATGTTGGGTACAGTACCCCTAAGCATATAAAATGAAGTAAAAAGATAGAGTTGTTAAGAATGTTGATGATTTTATAGAAAATCCTATGGGGAGGTCTTTGTATGCTTTGTAGGATTTGTTAATAAACAGATTTAAAATCAAAGCCTAAAAGAAAAGAGAAAAGATGCTACATGAGAAGAGTGACAAATGGGGCTGTCTCAGACACCACTGAGCACATCAAAACCAAAGGCACAGGCACAGTAAAAACAAATTCTATTTCATATAAACACAGGCTCAGCTTTTGTTGTACTTTGTATAAATCTTTTTGTGAATTGTTATTTATTCACCTTGGTCATTTTTGTCTAGGGGACATTTTCCTATAAGGTGTTGAAACCATAAAGATATCAGTACTATTCAGTTGAGATGCATCTATTTTTGCTCTTTTCTTATTTTGCAGAGATTCAGGAGCTAGAACTTTGGCTGGAATGCTGCAAGAATCAAGGGAGCTCTTCTTCCTCTTAGCCTCTCAGGAGCCGCCTGAGTTTTTTACCTCATTTTCTCCTTGTCTCCATTTCATTCCTGGCTATTTCTCACTTTGTTTTTAGCTACTAAGTATGTGTGTGTTTCTTTCAATGAGGAGCAGAAGCTAGCAAAATTTAACCCCATCTATTTGTCCAGGGAAGGCTTATAAAATGGAAATTCTGAGGACCATTTCTTTGACAAGGTTAGGACACTGTTCTGGCTAGCTTGTACTGTATACAAAAGCAGTTTATTCTGTGTGACTAGATAGTAAGAAGGGCATGGTGGAAACAATACCTCTGATGGCCATGGTGGTAGTGAGGTATGTCCCATTAGGTATAAGAGCAGTCCTCAGAGCAAGGACACCTGGACTTTTCTATTCCAAGGTGACCCTTACAATATGTAGGGATAAATGAACCATTAGTCATAGTGAATAACACCCCCTTTTCAATTTATAGTATGCCTTTGTAACAACATTGGCAATGCCCAAGTAGTACATAATATGAATGAGGCTCTACTGGTGTCTTGCAGTTTCCCTGCCAACAGGGAGCCCACCTTATACCTCAGCATCCTCTGACCCCATCTCTCATTCCTTTTCCTTCTGTCTTTCTCATTGACTTCCTCACACTGACTCCATCATGGCCTTCAATTTAGCATCTACCCCTTGGACTTTGCACTGACTGTTCCCTCTACCAGATTACCAACTGGCTTCCCTGCTGTCTTTGGAAGTCTTTGTTCATATGTAACCTTCTCTGCTAAACTTGCTTGGACCCCCATAAAAACTAGCATCCTTTGCTGGCCATATAGGTTAGTGGTCGAGACAGTGTTTAGCATGCATAAGGCCCTAGGTTCAACCCTTAGCAACACACACAAACAAGCTTCTCCTTTCTACGTGCTCAATTACATGTGATTTCCTTTTCCTCATAGTATCTTGCCATGTTATGTATGGTTATTTCTTCTTAGAATAGCTTTACTGAAGAATAATTAATATTCAAAGAAAGTATTTAATGTGTACAATCTGGTAAGTTCACGCATTTGCAAATATATGATACTATCCCCAGCAAAAGGTAAGAGACATATGATTTCCTTATCTGCACATATTCTTTGTCTATCTCTGGGATGTGAGAACATTTAATTTTCACCAACCTGCAATCATTGGGTGGACATGGCTTGGAACATGGTTGGCACTCAACAAATATTACTTAACTCTAAGAAATATTTTCTTATTAAAATGTAGAATATATGACATTGTGGGAAAAGGTTTGGACTGGGGCAGAAATTCCTCATCAGTAACAGCACTAGGAAGACCAAATCTAAGAACAAAAGGTGAAAGTTCATTTATTTGCTGAAAAATATATATTAGAATATTGAAGCTCTGTTAAGAATGTCCATTTGTGTTAGTAGTATTCATATGCTTTTCTGTTTCCTGGTAGTGACATCCAACATATGGACTCAGGCAACAATACAAGAATTTCAGAATTTCTTCTTCTGGGATTTTCAGAGGACCCTGAATTGCAACCTGTTATATGTTGGCTTTTCCTCTCTATGTACCTGGTCACTGTGCTTGGGAACCTGCTCATCATCCTGGCCATCATCTCAGACTCCCACCTGCACACGCCCATGTACTTCTTTCTCTCCAACCTGTCTTTTGTGGACATCTGCTTCACCTCCACCACTGTCCCCAAGATGCTGGTGAATATCCAGACACACAGCAAGGCCATTAGCTACACAGGCTGCATCACCCAGATGTACTTTTTCTTGATATTTGTAGAGTTGGACAACTTCCTCCTGGCTGTGATGGCCTATGACCGATGTGTGGCCATCTGTCACCCTCTGCACTACATGGTTATTATGAACCCTCGGTTCTGTGGGTTGCTGGTTCTGGTGTCTTGGGTCATGACTGTACTGCATGCATTGTTGCAAAGCTTATTGGTGCTGCGCCTGTCCTTCTGTTCACATGTAGAAATTCCTCACTTTTTCTGTGAACTTAATCAGATGGTTCAACTCACCTGCTCAGATAACCTTCTTAATGACTTTGTGATGTATTTTGCACTTGTGTTATTGGCTACTGTGCCTCTTGCTGGCATCCTTTATTCTTACTCCAGGATAGTTTCCTCCATACGCAAAATCTCATCAGTCCAAGGGAAATACAAAGTGTTTTCTACCTGTGCATCTCACCTTTCAGTTGTCTCATTATTTTATTGCACAGGCCTCGGTGTCTACCTTAGTTCTGCTGCAACCCACAGCTCCCACTCCACTGCAACAGCCTCGGTGATGTACACAGTGGCCACCCCAATGCTGAATCCCTTCATCTACAGTCTGAGGAATAAAGATGTCAAGAGAGCACTGAAAAAGACTCTTGGGATGGAAAGTATGAAATGAACCATTGCTCTGGGGTTGAAGAAGTGCCCATGAATACAAAGGGCAAAGCTTCAGAAGCAGAAATTGTGATCGTTTTATGAGATGATGAAAGTAGGACTTGTTCCTTTATTTATTTCTTGAGTTTCCTTTGCTATGATTCTAGCCTCTCTATATAAGATGTCACTTTATTAAATTTTCTTCTCTCAGAAGAGGGCGGAACAAGTTCTGCTGGGAAGTGGAGGGTTGAGAGGGGTGGGGGATGGGGGTGGAGGGGAGATGGCACAATGTATACACATGTAAGTGAATGTAAAAACGATAAAATGAGAAAGAAAAAAATTTTTCTTCTCTCTGATCTCCAACAATTTTCCCATTGTTGTCCTGATCTTCCAAAGTTATTTCAAAGACTGGAGCAAAAATATTTATAAATTCTCATTTGGGACAGAAATACTTACTTTATAGTAATTCTTGTTACGTGACATATGTTGAGTAATATTTGTTTTGTTTCACTGAAAAATTAAGCATGCGTTTTATTATGCCTATGAGAAAAGTTCACAATTGGTAACTAAGTTCATTTATATAATTTTTAGTACAGGAAAATCTGATACCACAGTTTTTTCTTTGGGATGTATTGTTCTTGTTTATCACCACCTTGACTACCCTTCATAATAATGAAAACTTTAGCACAGTAGTGTATTTTACAACTGATCAGAGTTTTTCAGAATTCATTAATTTAATTTTTTGATTTGACACATAATGTCTGTATCTGTTTATGGGCAACACCTTGGTGTTCTTTTAAAGATTTTTATTACTATATAATAGTTGCACAGGGGTTTTTGTTGTGACATTTCCACATATGCATACAATGTGTCCTGGTTAGCTTCATCCCTATCATTATTCTCCCTCATCCCCCTTTCCTCATGATGCTTTGATCATGGATGATCAGCTAAGAGTCGTTAATATATCTATCACCTTGAAGTTATATCATTTCTTTATAGTCAGTGCATTCAAAATCTTTTCTTCTAATCATTTTGGGATATATTATACATTATTTTAAAATATATTCACCTTACTGTACCTGAGAACCAAAGAGCCTATTCCACCTATCTCACTGAAATATCATTCTCATCTTTATTATCCTGCTCCTATATTGCCCATAGTGTCCACCACAGTCACATTACAAACAGGTCCCCAGGGGTAACTACTCCCCTGTTTTTCTCAGGGATATATTTTATACTCTATACAACATTTTGAAGTGATGACAATATATAAAATGTGAATGGGATACAGCTTCATAGTGGTCAGGAGCTGGGAGGATATGGAAGGAAACCCTGGAGATGTTGGATTGAAGGAACTGTTCTCTATTTTGGCTGTTATGAGTGTTAAAATCCTGGTTGTGATAGTCTACTGTGTTCTAATCTACAACTATCACTAAATAAAAATTGAATTAAAATTGTAGCATTTTTATTTAAAAATGCTACAAGAGCATGCAATTATTTTCTTTATGATTTGAAATCTGACACTTTTCCATTCTCTCCTCAAGTTTGTATTTCCTCCCTATTTTCCCCCACAAATTATATATTATCATACTATATTGTATGCTTAAAATCACCTGTACATACTCACTTACACTGAAAACATATACACAAAGGTGACCTATCATTCTTATAAAATGGTTCATTTTTATGTCATTCTAGACAATATGGGGCCAGTTAAATATACAAAATGCTGTGATGAAGCTTGTTTTTCATAGCAGTGAGAAAATACTGGGTAATGAAATAAACCAAGTTAGGACAACTGAGGAAATATTGACTTCTGGTGTTTTATTGTTATTACTGTGTCTGCTCACAAAAATTCCATGTAGAAATGTCACCTCTACAGTCAATGAACACCCACAATCTCTCCCTTCATCCTGTGACCCACACACTCACTCTTCATGTCTCAACTCAGATGATTCTTTTTTGGAAGTTATTTCCTCTTTTACCAATAGCACCTCATTTCCTCAGTTGTACTCTTTTATAGCACCAGAGACTTTTTTTTTCTGTGATGTTTACATAGCACTTTGTCCATTTATTTACTATTTCTCTACTCATTTAGGTAGAGACAGAGTCTCACTATGTAGCCCAGAGCAACTATGAACCCATGGTTCTTGTGCCTTAGACTCCTGAGTGTTGGAATTAAAAGCATGAACCACTATGCTCTACTTTTTCATTTATTTCTATTTTTGGTAGTACTGGGGTGTGAGCCCACAGCCTTGGGCTTGCTAGGCAGGTGCTATATCACTTGATCTATGCAATCAGCCCTTTTTGCTTCAGTTATTATTTAGTTTTGAATAGGGTCTCGCTTTCATGCCCTGGTCAGCCTGGACTGCAATAGTCCTTTTATGCTTCCCCTGGAGCTGGGATGATGGGTGCCTGCCAGTAACTGTCCTCTTGAGCTGGCTTCAAACCATGATCCTCCTGATTTATACCTCTTAGTAATTAGGATTACAGGCGTCAGCTACTGTGCCAGGGTCATTTATTTTTAGTAACAGCAATCCATACAACCAGCAAATAATTTTTTTCTTTGCATATTTAGCCAAGTAGTTTTCTGACACCAATTTGATATTTCAAACAATCATCTGCCTGACTCTTGGACTTCCTTAGGTCTAGTAACGCACAAAACATATCATTTAACTTGTATGTCTCTTTACAACCAGATGGGTTGATAATGTTCAGATCTTCCTTCTGGATGAAACTGAATGGGTGAGTGGGGGTGAGCTAACTCTGTACCTATGATTACCCTGTCCATATAAACACATCTAGAAGCGCACCAGGTTTAGGAGAACACTCAGTTCAATGCAACCATTTACAAACTAGAGTGGAAAACTATTCTGTAATGTTGTTTTACTCTGAGGATTTGTATTGAGTGAAGATTTGAAAACTTTGGCTTGAGTTAGGGATTTATGATTCTCATGAACATGCACAAAAGGTGCAAGCCATCAGAGGTGGTGGGGAAGGGATGATCCTGTTGGGATACAAAACAGCAGAGAACATTGGTTCTCAAACTTGTGTGTGCAATAGGGTCCAGAGAGGACTTTTTAGAGCACAGAGTGCTGGCTCATTTCTCAGGGTATCTGATTCAGTAGGTTCATGTGGGCCAGGACTATGCACCAGGTGTTATTGGTGTTGCTCTTCCAGGGAGCATATTGGAGAACCACTGACGTACAGACAACTTTTCTAGATAGTGATGGTAACCACAACCTATCAGCAAAGAGATATTCATTGTACAGGGGGGATTCATTGTGACAATTTCAAATAGGCTTATATTGTACGTTGGTAGATCACCCCCACTGTCTTTGTCCATATTTTGATTCCAGCATAGAACTGTACAAAGAACATTTATTTCCATATCTTCCTTTCCTTATTCATTTTGAGATGAATAATATCTTATTATTTTATTGAACTCATTTGTAATAATTATGCTTCACTGATATATCTATTTAGAATTGTTTTCACAATGTTTTGAAAAACACAATTTTATGGCATTGTAATAAAGTTTGACCAATTCTGTTCTCTTTACCTGGTGTTACAAAATGTTATCTTTCACAATTGACTGCTATGAAAAATATGGCTAAATTATCTTCCTAACATTATTGGATTTTGCCTCAGTAGCAGAGCATACCACTGATTTTGTTTGGGTTGTCAGTACATCCAGACAAACACTTCAACTAAGGGGATAATGTAGTAGTAATTTCCATGGTGGCTGTAACCAAGTATCACTAATAATAGGCTTAAAGTAACATAATTTATTATATTTTAGTTCTTAGATCTACAAATTAAATATATGTATCCATTGGGTTAAAAGTGAGATGTCCAAGAATAATGGAGGGAATAAGTCAAATTGGAGCACATTGTATGCATATATGGACATATCACAATGAACCCTTGTAAAACTATTATATGCTAATTAAAACATTTAAAAATGAGGTGTTCACAGGCTAATGTCTTTTAGGTGGTTTGATGGAAGTGCCAGTTTCTGGAGGCTGCCCACATGCCGTGGATTGTGGGTTCTTCTGTCATTTTCAAAGCCAACAATGGCAGATTGAGCCTCATGCTGACTTTTCTGCTTTTCTTATCCACATTCCAAGAATTTTGTGATTTCTCTGGCCCCACTCAACAAATCTAGGCCATCTAGGTTATCTAATAGAAATCTTCATCCAATTATATTGTTGCTCTTTTGCATATAGCCTCACATAGTCATGGCTGTAGGATAGGATGTAAATATCTTTGGGATGCCATTGTTCTGCTTACCATGACACAATTTTTGTAGAAGAAGTATAAGCTGTAAGCTATTGGGTTGGTTTCTTGGAAACGTGTATTTTCTTGTTTGAAAAATCGACTCGAATATTGTTGAGTAAAATAAGATGCAAAAATAAATGTTGTACTATTCTAGTCATATAAAGTTGGAAAAGGCAAATGATTCTGTGCACCATGAGAATTCAAGATGGTGGTGATGATTGGAACTGGCACCAAGGTAGCTTTTATGTAGCTTTACATGTTCTTTTTTAGTCTGGGTTCTGGTTACTTGGAGTTTGTGAAAATTCACTGAGTCTTTGAAAATGTACTTTCCTATGCATTTGTTACAGATCATTAAAAAGTTTTTTTTTGTGCACAGTCCCATCTAACATCTTCTCCCCAAGATACTTGAGGAAGAAGTCACAAATGCAGAACCCTGGGCCCATCCTAGACCTACAAAATTAGCATCTGCACTTGACAGATCCCCATGGGAATCCACACATTGAAAATGTAGAAGTCTTGGTTAGAACAGTATTTAACAATATCCCATTGTTGACATTTGTGATGGATAATCCTTTGTGGTAGAATTGTTTGGTGTACTGTCAGATGTTGAAAAACAATTTTGACTGTCACCCATTAGTTGCCAGTTGCATGTCCTAAATATAAGAGTTAAAATTTCTCAAAGAAATTTCAAATTTTCATTGGAGGCAAAAATTGTATGTGCTTGAGGATCACAGGTTTACAGAA